TGTGGTTTCATTTAACAATAACAAGATTACATTTGTATAGCGACATTCACGTAAGGAGGATGTCCCAAGGTGCTGGACAGTGTACAGCATTTCAGATGTGAGCTGGGGTCAGGGGGGAGAGGGAGGTGAGGGGAGGGGGAATGGCCGATGGCATGGTCGAAGAGGAGGGTCTTGAGGCGGGACTTGAAGGAGACTAAGGAGGGGGCAAGGCGGAGTGATTGGGGGATGGAATTCCAAACCAATGATTGTAATGCATTTTATGTTTCCATTTGCTTCTCACGAACCTGTGAGAAATAGACATAATCATCTGAACCAATGCAGTGTGTGTGACTTGGTTATTTAGACATGAATGGAAAGAAATTCCACTTGGATCTAGATTTACGTAGCATTTTAGTATGCCCAGAATTTGGCAAATTGTGGAATTCAGTGTTAACTTTGAAATGATTTTCTGTGGATAATAATTAATAAATAACTAAAAGAATTTACAGAAAAACAGCTTCAATATTAAGTCTGTATTTAAGAGTTTACCAAATTTATGACAATTTACATGAGTAGAATGAATGAATTAGACCCAGATGACATTTCTCCCCAGCAGACTGGCTACAATATCATCAATATCGATCAAAATAAGTGAGCAATTCAGTCACCTTCAGTGCTCTTCAATCTGCATTTTCTGGGAAGGATTCATAATTTGCTCATAGTAAATTAAATAATACTGATACCTTAGCTAATTGGTTGGTAATCTGAAAATATATAAAAAATAATCCTTGGATTTGATATCGCACTTACCAAATCTTTGAAATGTCTCAAAGTGCTTCACAGGATTTACCATGAAGTTTAATGACCATGTATTTTGTAGGCGAACGTCAGCCAATTTGTGCACAGCAAATGTCCATGTGCATACTCTTGTCCCACAAATAGCCATGAAGTGAATGACCAATTTTATTTGAGGGATTGTTGGCCAGAACACCAGAAGAAACTACTTTATCTTTTTGAGTAATGCTACAGGGTCTTTAAAGTCTACTTGCACAGGCAAACAACAACACCAACTTGCATTTATATAGTGCCCTTCACGCCAGGTAGTGTCCTGGATTGCTTGAAGCTGGCGGAGACTAACCCCAAGCAAGGGGGAAAGGGAGTGGGGAGGTGACCGAAAGCATGATCAAAAAGGAAACAGGAGCTCAGTCGAACGTTTCTTCCAAAGGATGACACCTCCAAAAATGCAGGACACTTCGGCACAGCACTGGAAGTGTCAAACTAGACTACGTGAGTTCAAAGTACCAACTTGGGGCTTGAACCCACAACCTGACTCAGAGTGTCAGCCAGGCTGACGTACAATACGATAGAAAGGACCAACAAATAATTTGTAAAGAATCATTAATTCTCTGTCTCATGATCACAAGCCTGCATTCACAGTCAGCTAGTTCTCAAATGAATACTTTTACATTCATAGAATCATCAAATGTTATGGCACAGAAACAGGCCATTCAGTCTATCAGGTTGCACTGTTTTTTTCTCCACATTCACTACATAGTTTAATCCATTGTGTTAGAAAATAAAATCAGCCAAATCTGTAAGGAAATAACGCTAATTCCTCTAACCAGATATCAGACTGTTTTATTATTATTCGTTCGTTATTCCCCAATATCCCGATGGGTCAGACCAAAGGCCGGTACAATCAACAGATTTTATAACAGAATAACACCACTGTAGATATCTCGAGTTCAAGAGTTCAACACTGTGTCTTTACAGCACACAAGCTTGATTCTTCATGCTTTCAGTCTTCTTGCTTACAGCTTTCAATCTTCCATCTGATATCCTCAGTCTTAGTGTTTCTAGCTCTCAGTCTTCCATCTCCATACCCTTGTCTCCGCAGCCCGGGATGGCCTCATCTCCCGTATCCTTGTCTCCGCAACCCGGGACGGCCCGTCTCCCGTATCCTTGTCTCCGCGACCCGGGATGGCCCCATCTCCCGTATCCTTGTCTCCGCAACCTGGGACGGCCCCGTCTCTCTTATCCTTGTATCCGCGACCCGGGACGGCCCCGTACACAAAGTTATCGTAACTCTTATACCAATGTTCATCCAATCATGGTGCGGACATTAGATCACCTGGTCGAAATCATGCCTGGTTCACGTGAACACCTCATGGGGTGTACGTGCCTCAGCGCACATACACACTGTCCTTAAGACCCCTGTTTTCTGATCTAACTGTCTAAGATAGAGGATTGATCAGTTTAGGACTGTATCTGGTGCTCATTATTTTGTGGTGTGGGATCATTAGTACATTCCTTTTAAGTGACTGGTTATTTCTTATCAGTATCCCAGGATGGTACCAAGGTCCTCTAGTTTAAGCAACTTGCTCATTAATTGCTATTCTTGAGGGTTGCCTTCTGTCGCTTGGCAGGCCCTGTCAGAATCTACCGACTTATTGCTCAGTCGAGATCCTGTGTCGACCGGTACCTTAGACCGTTACCTCTGTGGGCTTGTTGTCATTTACTGATAAGAGGTGACCCCCTGCCCCTGTCTGTTATTCTTTCAAAAACAGAGAAAACCAGATGAGTCCTATCCCATGACTGTCAGTCCAGTTGTCCCCCACACTTAACTTAAAAGTTAACCCATTCACAACATCTATTATGATTCTTGCAGTATACAAAAAGTGTATATTCTAACAATTGTTGTCCAATATAAATCACTGACTAAACACTGGTGTGGACAGGTTTTAACCCTATGCACTATTTTTAGTAGAAAACACCTTACATATACTCATACAATACAAGTAAATGTAATTCACGTGTATCTTCATGTGTATCTTAACAATCATCTACTACCATTCAGTGTGAAACTTTGCAGGCTTCTTTTTCTTTTTCTACATACAGTCAATTCACTTTACAGTATGTTCTGTGAAGTGCTTTGAGACTTCTCATCAGCGTGATAAGGTGCTATATCAAATGCAAGAATTATTATTATTTCACAAGATACTTCCTACTCTCCATCCAGTTGGATGCTGTTTGCCCTTTGCCATGACGTGTCCTGTGGGAGCTGTTCGTCATTGGCTTTCTTCTCCAGGCCTGAAGCAATTATTCTGATTGGTCGAGCTGACCACAAATGTCAGCCACCCCTCTATATAATATTGCTAGTATTTCCATTCAGTGTTTTCACCCGTGTTACATACCTTTTGACAGGTAGCCAATAAACAGTAAGCAAGGAAGTAAAGCACACACAACAATCCAAAAATACGCTGCTTTTTGTCTTACCGTTTTATCCACAAATACACAAAAAGGTCAAAGTACACCTGCATACGCCATGGGAATGCGAGTATTGAGATCACATGCCCAACAACGGTGTCTATTACTCCTTTTTATTGACTGATCAAAAATGCAATTGCACCACATCTGGATTCCCAATTCACCACAAGTGGCTAGTGGCTAACATATTGGCCAACAATGGTCTAATCCCACTCTCTTGCTCACTCTTCATATTTTGTGCTTCAATATTCTTTTTTATCTAATTCACTTTTAATATATCTTATGAATGCAGCTTCAAGTATGGTTTGTGACAGAATACTGAAACTGCCCTCTGTGCTAAGAAATATAANTTTTTAACTTTCTATTTAATTCATTTTATGATTACCTTAATTTGTTACTGACTCACCAACCAGTGAAAATAATGCATTACTATTTACCCTGTAGTGTAGTGACATATCTGTAAATGCATCTGAATGCCTGTCATTTGCTTTAAGGGGAATTCTATAGCAAAATAACAGGCACAGTTTTCAAATGAACACTCTCAATACAGCTGAACTCCTGCAGCTGATTGTCTGCAAGATGGAAGCCATACTCTGGCTCCCGTCAACGTCTTCTTTTCTACCGGTCCAAACCTCTCAACCTCCCCGGGCTCTCCCCCAGACTCACCGAACCTATGTGCAACTTAGGCGTCAGGTTCAATCCCCAACTTTCCTTTCTACCCCACATCCGTTCCCTGACCAGGTTTGCTTTTTTCCACCTCCCGGTCAGTACCTCACACCCACAGCAGCCAAACTCTCATCCACACCTTCGACACTTCCTGGCTGGACTATTCAAATGCCTTCTTCGCTGGTCTCCCTAGCTCCACCACACATAAAATACAATTAATTTAGAAATTCGCTGCCCGGATATTCACCCGCACAAATCTCCGTATCCCCATCACACCTGTCCTTGCCAGGTTTCACTGGCTCCCAACGGATTGATTTTAAGATCCTCTCACTCGTTTTCAAATCCCTTTATGCCTTCACATCTCCTAACCTTTGCGATCTGCTTACCCCCACTCCACCATCCGCTACCTACACTCGGGTGGCTCTGTCCTCCTGTTTGCCCCTCGTCCCCTCCGCTCCATCATCGGTGGCTGTGCTTTCAGCCATTGCGCCCCGAAGCTCTGGAACTCTCTTCCTCAATCCATCCACTTTGCCTCTCCCTCCCCACTTTCATATCCTGCCTAAAGACCTTTTTTGATTGCGCTTACGGTCAGCTCCCCCCTCCCTCTCCTCCTGGTTCAGGGTCAGACTGTCAAGTTTTCCGGGACCCTACCCCTTGTGAAGGCGCTATATAAATGCAAGTCATTATTGTTGATACAGGCATAAGCAAAATAGCAATATATCCATTTCTGTTTATTATTAAACAGGACTTTTATAAATACCCTTAACTCAGGTGGTATTTTGATAGACTTTGTCCTTTGCTTTCACTTGTAAGGTTCACTGAATATTCTGCGAATCTAATCTTAATGTAATAATTTGTACATTGTAGGCAAAATCATTTTTAAACAAAAGGCATCGAAAAATACAGCTTCTGTAAATAATTAAATAAAATTATTGTAACTCTAGGAATTCTTCTGTGTTTCCTTTTCATGAAATGTCTGTTTTTCATTTACTTTGTTTAGGAAGTATCATTAACTAAGCAAAACTAAGCACCTTCATCCAAATTAATTATTTGCACCTTGAGTACACTTTTAATCATCTACTGTGCATAAAGTTTAATTCCACACTATCTCATGTTTGAAAGTGGACAACTTACAGCAGAAATTATTCATTTCTTAGCGAAAAGAACAAAAAAGTTTGCTGAACAGAAACTAGCATCCTCCAGAATATACTACCATGGCTCACTCAGGAATGCAGATTCTAGGTTTCATGTTTGGTGTCATTGGAAATAGTTGTGTACTTGCTGCCATACTGTCTAAAGAGTGGAAAATAACAAGCAGAGCATCTTCAGTGATCACTGCTACATGGGTCTTTCAAGGTCTTTGGACGAACTGTGCTGGAAATGCTCTTGGATCAGTTCAGTGTCGTGAACACCTCACTTTATTCAAGTTAGACGGTAAGGTTTGTTTTCAGCTTCAATTACTTCGGTCAGGTTTTTCATCACATTTTGATTAACATCCACTAATCCTTTTTACACTGACAAAACAATTACATGAGAGGTTAATTAATCTATGAAAGTGCTGCATTAGTTATATTCAAGTGCTTTGAGAAGCTACCCACAGAATGGCGCTTTATAAATTTGAGTTGTTGCTGTTGTTGTACTTATTTACCATGTTGTTTCATTACGTCTGAAATATTGTTTTAATATTTAAAGTAATATCATAACTTCTTGTATTCTTTGTGAAAACAGATGATAACAAAGGCAAAACAATATTCTCAGTCCCCTCACAGTATTATGGTCAGTATTATGTTTGAACCTATACGGGAATTCAACATTACAGGTACTAGGAGACAACAGAAATATTTATTCTTAGGTCTAAAATCAAAAATAAATAAGGACAATAGTTAATTATTGCATGACATTCACTCCACAGCTGAAATATTTGAATCAATGGTGCTGTCTTTAAAATGTCAACTCGTTCTCTGATAATTTCTCTTAAGGAGAAAATGTTATCTTCTTTTGGTTGTTCAGAAAGTTGTGAGATCAAATATCATTTAGTTTCAGAGATGCAAATTTTTGTGTGTGATCAGAAAGTTTTCCAACAACAACAACAACTGGGATTTATATAGCGCCCTCCACGCCGGACGGCGTCTCAGAGCGCTTTACAGTCACGGATCCCGGGACCAAGCCAGGGGGAGGGGGAGGAAGGTGACCAAAGGCGCGGTCGAAAAGAAAGGTCTTCAGCAGAGACCTGAAGATGGAAAGGGAGGGAGCAAGACGAAGGGAGTGAGGAAGGCAGTTTCAGAGCCTCGGGGCATAGTGGCTGAAGGCACGGCCGCCGAGGGTGGAGCGGAGGACTTGGGGGACGAGGAGGAGGCCAGACCCAGAGGAACAAAGGCAACAGGTGCTGTTTTGAGGAGAGAGGAAGTCAGAGAGGTAGGAGGTGCAGAGGAGTGCAGGGACTTGAATACGAGGGTGAGGATCTTGAAATCGATCCTCTCTGGGATAGGCAGCCTGTGCAGTCTGGCAAGGACTGGGGTGATTGGGGAGCAGGGTTTCGTGCGGGTGAGAATGCGGGCGGCAGAGTTTTGAATGATTTGGATTTTATGGATGGTGGTGGATGGGAGACCGGCGAGGAGGGCATTAGAGTAGTCCAGCCGAGAAGTGACAAAGGCATAGACCAGGGTTTCAGTGGCTTTTGGAGTGAGGTATTGGCGGAGACAGGCGATGCGTCGGAGGTGGAAGAAAGCGGTGCTGGTGAGGGACCGGATGTGGGGGAGGAAGGATAATTGGGGGTCGAACCTGATGCCTAGGTTGCGTATGGGTTTGGAGAGTTTTAGGGGGAGGTCGGGTAGGTGGAGGAGGTGAGAACCATGAGATTTTAGACGGTGATGAGAGCCGAAGAGTATGGCTTCCATCTTGTCAACGTTCAGCTGAAGGAAGTTTGCGCTCATCCAGCCCCTGAGGCTTGACAGGCAGCCTGACAGAACATCAGGGGACTAAGGGCCGCAAAGAGAGGTGGAAAAGTAGAGTTGGGTGTCATCTGCATACATGTTTAATTATTGACAGGATGCATGGATTTTTAATTAACAACTGGAACAGGTTACTGATTAGGATGTTTTTAAAACGTTGTGATGCTGTGATGGAAAAACAGTAAAGTGGGTGTTCTGGAAGGATGAGATTAACTGGGCAAAAGGATCTTCTTCATCTACCAATCTATTGCTTGTAAAAGTTTACTTACTATTGATATCAAGATATCTAATCTACAGTTACCCGGCTTATCCCTTTATGATGTTCTGCTCCTTAATCTAACTTTTTAACTCCTGAAAATCCCTCTGCAGGATTGGAAACCTACTCTTTCCTGTGTCATTGTTCCAATATGAACCACGACTTCTGACTGTCCTCCCTCCCACTCCAAAATCATTAACACTTTATTAGCTCCACTATGAGTTTACAAAGAAATGTACATTACTATGTGTACTGTGAAAAAGTGAGCACATCACTTGCACTTGGCTTTATTGCAATGAACATGTATCTGCCTCCTGTCCTCCTGCATTAAGGATGATGCTAAGTTCAATGTTTTATAGCAATAAGTTATAATACTTGAATATGATATATCATTTTTAACATACATATCAATATATAATACATGAAGATATAACATTGATATACAGTAGAAGCCGCTTTAGCGGAAGACGATTAATCCCAGAGACCTGGTAAAGTTAATTCTCCTGTGATGTCAGAAATGCTGGAAATTAAACCCTAGAATTAAAATTCAATAATGTGAGAAAAACACTTACAGGCATCTTTGGTTTGTTAATAGATTCATATAAACCATAGTTTAACAGTTTGTCAGACTTTCTATTAGTCTGAGAAACGATTCACAAAAGCACAAAGTTTGCACAATTTTCTCCAATGTACAACAGGAGCCTAATGTGCAAACTTCATTTTCCATCATAAGGACTTTGATAAGGAGAAAATAAAAACAAAAGTTTTCAAAATAAAAATCTCTTGATTGCACAATAGTGAGTGGCACATGAGAAGTAGCCGGAGAGAGTTTGCAATGCTGCTCTCTGGATGAGACAGTGATCATTACCATGCCTGTTTACCCTGCTAAAATTGTAAAAGTGATAAAATATATAACAACAACAACTTGCACCTATATAGTGCCCTCCACGCAGGGCATTATCTCAGAGCGCTCAACAGTGGCAGAGCCTGATTCCGAGTTGGGGGTAGGGGAGAAATGGTCGTAAGCACAGTCTAACAGGAAAGTTTTCAGTTGGGAATTGATAGAAGGGAGAGAGGGGCAAGGTAGAGGGATTATGGGAGAGTGTTCCAGAATTTTGGGGTGTAGTGGCTGAAAGCACGACTTCCAAAGGTGGGGCGGAGAGTCCAAGGGACGAGCAGGAGGCCGGTGCCAGTTGAGCAGAGGCGCTGGGGAATGGATTTTGGAGTGAGGAGGTTGGAGAGGTAGGGAGGTGCCAGGAAGTGAATGGATTTGAACATGAGGATGAAGATCTTGAAGTCGATCCATTTGGTGATGGGGAGCCAGTGGAGCCCGGCCAGAACTGGTGAGATGAGGGTATGGAATTTGGTCCAGGTCAGTATGCGGGTGGCAGAGTTTTGAATGAGATGAATCTTATGAATGGTGGAGCTGGGGAGACCAGCGAGAAATGCGTTGGAATATAAGAATCCTTTCTTTTGATTTGGCAACTTTCATGTCGGGAGTAAGAACGGCAGCAGACACTTGAGGATAGATTTTTGAAAAAATTGTTTACAAGAAACAGAATGCAGGTAAGGAAATTTGAAGAGAAGCCAGTGTGCTTTTCAGACCATCGGCTGCTGAGAGTACAAACAGAAGCCCCAACAAAGGTAGATATAGAAAAAGGATTATGGATGCTGATGGGAATTTCATTTGGCAAAAGGTCAAGCTTGGGAGAAATTGAATATATTCAGTAATTAAGGTGAAGAGAAGGATGAATGAGTGGAGGAAGAAGATGCTGATGATGACCGGGATTGTATTGGTGAAGTATTTGGTGCTGCCAATATATTGGAAGGATTTTCACTCCAGATCGAAGAACGGGGAGAATCATGGAGAAATTGATGTTTCATTTTGTGTGCGTGGAAAAGATCAAGAGTGAGGAGAGAAGTGATTGTGAAGAGAATGGAAAATAATAATAATAATAATAATAAAATGAGGTGGAAAAGGGGTTCTAAAGATTCTCCTGTTATTAAAAGTGGCCTCTTTGTATGAAGTAATGAAGGTGTGGGTGAAGAAAAGTTCTGAAGAGTTTTTTTTCATGCTATGTTTGGAAATGCGTGGCAGCATTTAGGGTGTATGCAAAAGGACCACACAATCCCTTTTGCATGGGAAAAGCTGAAAGAAATTTAGAGGGGGTTTGATTTTCTGAAGCAAATTGACTTGAGGTTTGGGAGAGTAGAGGTCTGGGATATGGAGGGGGTGTTGGGGAAGGAATAAGAGGAGTTCCAGATAAGTGTTTTGAGTATGTGTGAGATAATGTGAACTATAGGGACCTGATAGATTCACAGAACGATCTTGTGTGGATAGCAATAAATAATTACCTTCTGTGCAGAAGTTTCTGGCTCTAAAAGAAGTTGGTGTTTGGTAGCAAGCTGCCCAAGAGGGAGTTGTACGAAGCAAAAAAATGTCTGCACATGTGTTATGGGAATACACCTTTGCACAGAAGGTGTGGAAGAGGTTGAGAAATTCTCTGAAAAGATTTGTGTTATCAGACTTGATGGTCAAAGAGGATATTGTTTGCGGGCCCAAGAAGGGCTTAAACAGAGATGGTAAGGCAAGCATAGTTGGTGGTATGTGCGACAAAGGAGGCCTTTTGGTGAGCGGGGAACAGATTGGTCCACCAGAAAGATGAATTAATGGAGATCAATATGGTACTGCAGGTTTGCAAAGAGTGTGCGGGACTGTGTTTGCAGAGACATTCAAAAGAAAGGAGAGGAAAAAAGACTGTGAATATGGAGTCTGTAGGACTGTGACTCTGCAGTGGAACAGATCTTTCTGTGAGCCTGCTGTTGGGCAGGGCATGAAGGAAATAGACTGGAGGATGCTGTGTTCATGGTTTTACTTTTGCTAAGTGCAAAATCTAGATGTAACAGATTATGTTTTGTTAGTTTCTACAACTGGTGTGAGTAAACAAGCTGAGATGGGAACATGTAAACTTGTTGCCTGGGCTGATATTTTGCTTAGGCAGGGAATCAGTTAATGGTGTTGCATACTTAATTGCTATTGTACCAGCAATTATGGGTTAAATAGAAAACAGAGTATATTGGGATTCATATTTGCAGTTAGGATAATGTGGAGATGGCTTTGTTTAACTTGGTGAAGGTCAGAAAGATGTTGTCTTGGTTCATTTTGAGAAGTCATTACTCCACATTTAAATGTGGGGTTTGTTTTATGTTTTTTGTACATTTTTTAC